AACTTTTATTACCGCCAGGAGAAAGCTAAGCAACTGTTATTACCGCCAGAAGGATACTAAGCAACTGTTATTACCGCCAGGAGACAGCTAAGCAACTGTTAATACCGCCAGGAGAAAGCTAAGTAACTTTTATTACCGCCAGGAGAAAGCTAAGCAACTGTTATTACCGCCAGGAAAAAGCTAAGCAACTGTTATTACCGCCAGGAAAAAGCTAAGCAACTGTTATTACCGCCAGGAAAAAGCTAAGCAACTGTTATTACCGCCAGGAAAAAGCTAGCTGACTTCTTTCCTAACTCTCCAAAATTAAATGATTTTTGCTTACTAATTTGAAGCTCAAATTACATGTTTTCTGTCTTTCCTCGTATATAGATCAGAGAGAGAGAGAGAGAGAGAGAGAGAGAGAGAGAGAGAGAGAGAGAGAGAGACGGGGAGTAAGTGACAGACAAACAGACAGACAGACATAGTAATAGGGACGGGAATACCTGCATCTCCCTTCCGGTTGAAGTAATTATCACCAGGTGTACAATATATACACAGGTGAGAGAGTGAGTGACAACTTTCTGAAATAGAGAACACAGGCAAGTATTCCTAGGACACACACACACACACACACACACACACACACACACACACACACACACACACACACACACACACACACACAAAGGGCATCTCAGAGTTTCATCATTTGTTTATCTCCGAGTTCGAATAAGAGTTTCGAATCGTGTGTTCCGAACCGTTCAGTAAAGTCTAATTGAATCATTTATATATACTAGATATACTCATAGTAAAACACAGTTCGAATGTGTATATACTCTCATATATATATCCAAGCTGGAATCGAACCCGAGTGTAGTGTCACTGGACTCTCACGGCTCTATAAAGAAATGTTTCAGAACCAATCACACAAATTGTTTCATACAACGTTATTGAATCTTGAGAGAGACCGTCCGCTTGCCTCTACCCCAGACCAGATATTCAGGTAACAGTATAGACAAGAGTTACGTGATACTGAGGACATATCTAAGTATATCTACCTTACCACGAGGTATATACGCTCTGAAGTCTACCCCTTAACTCCCCTGCCTGCCTCCCGACCCCTCGACCCCCCCGCTTCCCTATGCTGGTTGATACATCACCAAAACACTGAGCTATGTTAGACACAACAAGAGTATCCAGTCAGCCGTCTTGTTTTTTCCCAGAAATTTGCGCAAGTTGAATCGATATTGTTTTTTTGTTTTCTTCGTCTTGCCTCTCCTTACTGCCTCTCCCTCCCTCATTTCCCTCCTTCTCCCTCTCCCTTTCCCTCCCTCCCCTCCTCCCTCCTTCTCCATCCAGCAGCGAATTTATACCTTCAAGATATGGAATGTGCAGGATTTCCAATAATTAAGCTATTTTTCTCCCTCCATGGGCCTGTACCGTCACTAGAACGACTTACCAACAAGATTTATACGAAATTTCAGGTGAGGTTTTGAGGTGAGTGGGCCGGGGAGTGGGCCTGGGGTGGGGTGGGGGTGGGCCATATGGGGGAGTGGGCTATAGAGAGTGCCGGTGTTATGGGAATGGAGAAGAATTGTGGCAATGATTTGTTCCTGTAGAGTTATAAGTGCCTCTGTGTGCCATAGTATATTCTTAAGTGCCGTGGTTTATGAAAACTTTCCCTGACTGACTGACTGACTGAGTGACTGACTGACTGAAAAAACTCTGGTGTTAAGCGGAGTAGAAATGTCTCCTGTATTCTCTCGTTTCCATGATCTGTTGGCAGTCCCGGTCCTTAACTAATCAGGAAAGAGTTAATAGCCTTCATTTAGAGCCAAACTTCCCATAGAAAAAGCACGGGTTTTAAGAAAGTTGTTGTTGGGTTAGGTATATTTGATTATGTTAGATTAGGTCAGGTGAGATTTAAGTAATATAAGTAAGGTAAAATTAGGTTAAGGTGGCATGAAGTTAGGTTAAGTTAGGTTAGGATAAGGAGATATTAATCAAGGTAACATTAAGGTTTATTAATCACCAGGCGAAGTAAGCTTATGTGGGAAGAGCAGGTAATCTTTAGGTGATCCACAGAGAGTTGAACAATAAAACACACCTCACCTTGCTGCCTGCCTTGCCTAGTTGATCAATATGCTGTAGTTGGTCTCCGGTGTGATACGTCCACTTGGTTCGACACTCCTGGATAATGTAATGCCTCGCTAACACACTCTTAAAGAAACTGACCTGAGACATATACCCCAAATACACGACCTGAGAGACATTATCTTCCTCACTGTTTAGGTTTTTATATGATTTTCTGCCTCACGTAAGTTACAATTCCTCCATAGTGGTTCTGTTATCAAATACCCACTTACATTCCAGGTATTGAGAATCTACGAGGGTCGTCAAACTTCCCCCTGAGGTACGCCTCCTCAAACACAACAAAGGTTTAGGAGGTCGGTAATGTTACTCCTACCCTCAAGAGATGATAAAAGATATGTTATGTTCTCTCTGGTTTGTGGATATGAAAATCTGATCACAATTATCTCTCTGTAAATGGTTCAGAATAACTGGAACGACCATCACAATCAGGGATCTTTAGGCCCGCTAGATCAAGTTGAGCCAGAGTGGTTTTACATCCTCGGGTGCCTGTGAGTGTCTGGTCGGGAGAAGACGTGACATTATCATCTCTCATAGGTGTAAGATTCTGGTCTGCCTTGACCTGCCTCAGTGTGAGTTATAGTATCAAGACTATCGTTAAGGTCACTCCATGGTGCTCCTTCTGTCGGTGTGAGGTTAAGACAGATATCCTTTCATGAGGTCGAGTCTTATCACCGTTGTTGTTTAGGAGGCGGGAAGGTAACCTGATAGTGATTCTTCGCTTGAGGTTTAGATTTAAGTGTCGTTTTGTCTCCTTATCCTGAGACTTGCTGTCGTGTCCTGTTGCCTCCACCGTCAGTGTTGATCGACCGTCTCCCCCTCCTTCAAGGTACATTAACACTCGAGAACATCTCCTTCTCGTTGTCTCGAAGTCAAAGATTATGTTGTCTTTTTTTATATGTTCCACCGTTGATGAGAGCAGCGACACACACGTCACGACGGAGGGTGATAGAGGGACTGGAGGCTGGAACGTCCTGTTGTGACCTGGATGTGGTGGAGGGGGAGGTGGATGAGGAGGGGAGGGAGGGGTGAGGGGGAGGGGTGGGATGTTTGGTGTGTAGTCTCGCCATGTTATAATGACAAACAGGCTTCCTCATTCATGCCACACCCAGTGCACGGGAGAGAAGAGATAGCTGTTCTCTCTCTCTCTCTCTCTCTAAAAAATCATGTTGTTTACACACAAAACACACACACACACACACACACACACACACACACACACACACACACACACACACACACATACACACACACACACACACACACACACACACACACACACACACACACACACACACACACACACACACACACACACACATACAGGTAATTCACGGTCCACATGTGTCAATGTGACGAGGCCGCACAGTATCACAGGTAGAGCACATGGCCAGGTGTGTTACCTCAGTAAAATGAAATAAATAACTTGATACAAAACAAAGGAGAGAGGAGAGAGAGAGGGGGTGACCACATCATAAGAGAGAGAGAGAGGTGTATCACATCAAAAGAGAGAGAGAAAGGTGACTACATCATAAGAGAGAGAGAGAGAACAGGTGACTACATCATAAGAGAGAGAGAGGACTAAGCACTGGCAAGAGAGAGAGAGGGGGGGAGAGAGGCAATCACTGCTTAGAGAGAGAGAGAGAGATACAGGTGACCACACATAAGGGTGGGTGCAGGGCGCCACCTACACAACGGAAGCGCACAATCTACCCCTCACCAATTTCCGGACTGTCGGTCATACATCCGGACTCCACCCTTCTGTCACGGCCACCCCTACCCTCCCTCCTTTCTCCCTCCTTCCTTTCTCCCTCCCTCTCCCTGCCTCCTCCTTTCTCCTCCCTCCTTTCCTCCTCCCTCTTCCCTCCCTTCCTCCCTTCTTCTCCCCCGCCTCCCCTTTTTTCTCCTCCCTTCCTTTTTTCCTTCCTCCTCCCTCCCTCTTTCCCTCCCTCCCTTCTCTCCCTTTCTCCCTGCCTCCCTCCCCTCCTCCTTTCTCCCTCCTCTTTCTCCCTCCCTCCCCTTCTCCTGCCTCCTCCTTCCCTTCTCCTTCCCTCTCTTTCCCTCCCTCCCTTCTCCCTGCCATCTTTCTTCCTCCCTCCTTCTCCCTGCCTTATTTCTCTCCCGCGCTTGTCCATTCACCTACTTTTCGCTCCCATTCCTTCTCCCTTTTCTTTTATCCATTTTTCCTCTTCTATTCAGATTCGCCAGTCATACCTAACCTAACCTAACCTAACGTATATGTGTTAGGTTAGATTAGGTTAAGTTAGGTAAAGTTATCGTTAAATTGGTTAATGTTAAGGATAAATAACTTAGGGGCTGATCTTCAGGTGATCCGATTTACCTGTTAATTCATAATTAACACATAAGGATTTCTTCATTCCCGACCAAAACTGTTGTGTTGCCTAAAATACAACAAAGAAATGGCCTGAATTGCGTCTTTTAGCAATTTCTGACCTCATTGTCACTCTCAACATGGTTTTATTTCCACCACTGATACGATTTATTTAGGAATTTTGATGATTTTATAGATATTTTTAGAAAACACTGAAGAGCTTTTGAAAGAAAACGGAAATTTGACTTTTTTCAATACCTATAACTTAAACAATTTGTCCATCTTCCAGAATGAAGACTCGTGTACGCTTGTGTATAATCTATGTGTGTGTGTTCATGTAGGTTCAATCAGCACATTAGTATACACAGTTGAGAAGCCATGTCAAAAATAATTATTGTAGTTCTTTTTATTCTTCCTTTCCGATATTATTTCCATTTCCCTGTTTAGTTTATTACATTAGTTATCTTTTATGTCATTTGGAAGAGTGACTCTCACGATCAACCTCTTCGTCTATTTGTACACATAAGAAAAGACCAAATCATTAAAACACTTTTATTTGTGGACACTCCAGTGAAGATGAGCCATTGCCAGAGTTTACCAGGATGTTGACAAGACACCATAGTGAAAATAATCAGACCTAACCAACCCTAACCTAACTCAGTCTGGCCGAGAAAGATTATTTACGTAGAGTTTCTTTTGTACACGTCAATAGAGGCCATTTACAATACCTATGGACTTGAGGCTGGGTATGTCACTTTAATCGTCGTTTATGATGTTGATAATTATGACAAGTTTAACAAAGATCATGTTCCTCGAAAGGATATTTTTTTTTTTGGTGTGCAATCGTATTTTTTTTTTTGTGGTTTTCCCGATCAAAGTAAATAAGGTATTATTTTTGTTTGTTTGTTGGTCAGAAAAACAACTTTACGTCACTCTATTTTACGACACCTAAGTTCCCCCACGGGCAGCCAGGACACTCTACTCGTGTTAGTCCCTTGTGTGAGAAGAAACTTTTTCCTGAGGGTTAGTTTCTGAGGCCTGAAGGCGAGGGTGGCGACGAGGGCGAATTACAGGGAGAGGGACGAGGGTCTAAGCGGCTGGTCTCTCGCCTTGCCACAGAGCCAAGTTAGGACGAGGAATACCAGGACCTTGACACGCTACAGGCTGGTTACTAGGGAGAGAAGAGAAACAATTACATTACAACAACAAAACAAAAACATACATTCAAACACATATGTAGATTTATAAACCGACATATACATATTCATTTTTAAATATACATCTATATAAATATGTCAGAGATTTAGAACAGCGTGAGGATTTACAGAGCGTTGTTGGTCTGCCTGAAGGCAAGGGGCTGGACGGCCTCAATGTTGGAGTTGTCACATAAGATTCTGGCCCAGGAGGTACGGCGGATCTCCTGAAGTTGACCTGCAACACAGAAACATGTTTACCACTGACCTGAAACACAAGATAATGTTTACTACTGACCCGCAACACAAGATAATGTTTACTACTGACCCGCAACACAAGATAATGTTTACTACTGACCCGCAACACAAGATAATGTTTACTACTGACCTGAAACACAAGATAATGTTTACTACTGACCCGCAACACAAGATAATGTTTACTACTGACGTACAACAACAACACACAAGACTTACCCTCATTGAAGGATCCTGGCTGTCCTCCAAGGTCGTAGAAATAGCGATCTCCCTTCTTAAGTCGTGCAAACTGGTCTCCTACAACACACAGGAAGGTCCAGCCCAGGAGACCACCCGAAACCTTCTTCTCCACGAGGCCTCCCACGAAGAAGTCAATATCGTCGACAGAATTGTAGATTCTCGACAGTGTCTGAACGATCTGTAGGGGGCGGTGAAGGAGGGATGAACTGCCTGTTTATCTATGTTTCAGAGCTGGTGAAGGAGGGTTGATATGTCTATTTACCTGTCTGTGGGAGGCGGTGAGGGAAGGATGAGCCGTCTGTTTACCTTTCTGTGGGGGGTGATGAGGGTGGGATAAGCTATCTGTGGGAGGTGGTGAAGGAGGGATCACCTGACGAAATCAAAACAGTACTCATTTAAACAAAACCAAAACAGTACTCACCTTCAACCAAAACAGTACTCACCTTCAACCAAAACAGTACTCACCTTCAACCAAAACAGTACTCACCTTCAACCAAAACAGTACTCACCTTCAACCAAAACAGTACTCACCTTCAACAAAAACAGTACTCACCTTGAACCAAATCAAAACAGTACTCACCTAAACAAAACCAAAACAGTACTCACCTTCAACCAAAACAGTACTCACCTGGGGGTCAATTTGATCGGTGAGGTCACTGAAGGTCCTGGCCCGACGTAGACCACAGATATGTCTTATGTCGCTTGTAGGTGGCTACAGCTTGCTGTCCCGGCCTCGTGATGTTCAGACCACCAGTCCTCAACTCTGAAGAAGGAAGGGGTCTGTTTGGTGCATGATGGAGAGATATATAGTGGCCTATTGTGTGATGGAGAGAGAGACAGAGAGAGAGGGAGCTATTGTATGATGGAGAATTTGAGAGAGAGTTAGAATTAGGGGAGAGAAAGAGTAGGTTTGGTTTGAAGAGGGAGTAAGAGAGGTTAGAGAGATATGGGAAAAGTTTGGCTTGGATGGAGAGTTTGAGAGAAAGAGTTAGTTAGTGAGAGAGAAAACAGAGAGACAAAGAGAGAAGTTTGAAGAAGGAAGGAGAATTTGAGAGACAGACAGACAGACAGAGTTCCTTACCTGGAAGAGATGATTGGACAGTTCCTGAGACACAAAAGGATCGAACTGTTGGATGGCTATCTGTAGTTACGAATGATGTCATCCAGTCGGGCCTTTCTCTGACAGAGAGAGAGTCGAAGTGATCACGGAGCCTGACGGTGCTTATGCCTCCTGCCGCAGAGATCATCCTGAAGGAGCAATAGGGTGGTTAGAATGGGTCTGCTGACTTACCAGCAGAGTTATGTTTGACTACAGTGAAAGAGAAGTTTTAAGGTGATTTGAGTTGGTGTTGAGATGTAAATTGATTGTGGGTTATTATAATCAATCTCTCTCTCCTAGTGATTGTATTTATTTATGTATTTTATTACTAGTATTATATTACATTTTATTATTAATCCTTTTTATTATTGTTAATGTATTTTTTGACATGATACATTTTCACATTTCTCCATTATTATTATTATTATTATTATTATTATTATTATTATTATTATTATTATTATTATTATTATTATTATTATTATTATTATTATGACATCATTTTTTCCCGTGTTCATGATCAACTTTCTTCATCTTTAACTAAACACAAACTCCATCTTTCTCTCCTCTTTCCTAGTCTAAACTTTTCCCTGTTTATATACTCAACACCTGGTACTAGTTAGAGAGCCAAGAACAACAAGAAAAACAATGAAATCACGATAATAAATGAGTCAGGAACAACGGGTAAATGAATTGGATTAATAGAGAGTGTCATCATCTCACCTGACTGTTCCTTGTACCAGCGTGTGCCCGAATCGGAAGGCGGCAGTGGAGAACTCATTATTCATACTTGGGTTAAAGTTATCATTGTAGTCGAAGCTGTAGCCGTTCTGGAGGACATTGATACCGAATGACTGCATGAAATTGTTACCTGAAATTAACAAGTTAGATGCTGTGAATTTTTGTATCTGTTGTTTGTTTGTTGGGACAGTCGATTACTAAAGTCCGTTCACCTCTCACCCTGAATCATGAACCCTGAGATTCAGATTCGTGAACCCGAAGCAGTAGACTGATACATTATTCTATCTGTAAATGCTTCGGATTCATGAGTCTGGTGGTTCGTGGTTTAGGGGGAGAGGCAAACGGACTTTAGATGTTGAGTTTAGAGTTAGGTGTTTCATCGTCTCGGGTCTTATTTAATATAGTTCCTGTATATAAATGGCTGTGTGGATGACTTACTGATATGGGAAATGAAGGTGAAAAATATTGTTGGTAATTTTTTTTATGCGTTCCATCTCTCTCTCTCTCTCTCTCTCTCTCTCTCTCTCTCTCTCTCTCTCTCTCTCTCTCTCTCTCTCTCTCTCTCTCTCTCTCTCTTACCGACAATGATAGGCAGCCACTCGTTATAGGTGATGTGTTGGATCTGAGCGACAATGATCCTTCTGGCCTCCTGGAACACGGCCTCGTCTGACCACTGAGGGTTGATGCTCCTGAGTTGTCTGGCCACTGTGTTGTGTTGCCTCATCCAGACGGTGTGTATGGCTGTCAGTCCCGGCTGTTCGTTCACTCGCGAGTCACCTGTGGAGAAAATATGACATTGTTGCAGTTTATTGGACAGTGACATTGGTGCAAGTGGTGCTAAAATGACATTGATACAGTGACAATGGTGCAGTGGTACAGTGACAATGGTGCATTGATACAGTGACAATGGTGCAGTGGTACAGTGACAATGGTAAACTTGTAATGAATGCCATTGTTACTGCTTCTAAATACACTTGGATCCTTATTAGAAATTTTTGTTACAAGGAGTTGGTCTGTAACTTAACTTTTGGAATTACGAAGCTCTGTACTGGAGGTAATTTAGAAACAGTCTGAATACACAAATACAGACTATCTTAAAAATACTGTAGCTACATAGGAATCACACTATCCCTGATTCTGTAGATTAACTTATAATCCCGAGTAAAGTTTCAAAGATCGAAAGTAAAATTCTCTCGAGTTAGGCATCACGACTCAGAATTTGGGTCAGTTTCCCCTAAAATTCTCCCATGTCAACCAAGTTTTCTATGATAAATGCCAGTCTAGAAATTCCTTAACTAATCGACTCAATTTACCTACATAACATACACTCATCTACATAACATACACCCACCTACACAACATACACTCACCTACATAACATACACCCACCTACATAACATCCACCTATCTACATAACATACACCCACCTACATGACGCATTTCCACCTACTTGACGCACACCCACCTACACGACGTACACCCACCTACATGACGCACACCCACCTACATGACGCACACCCACCTACATGACGCACTTCCACCTACATGACGCACACCCACACAAAAAGAAACAGCGTCACTAACCAGCCAGGAAGCAGAGTGAGTTGCGTTCTTTGGCCTGACAGTCTCCTCCTTGGTTAGGGTTGATAGGTAGGAGGTTGTTGCCAGAGATCTTTAGAAGTCCATCTCTGAAGGTTCGTAGTGGCCGTTGTTCTTCTTCGTCTGACCCGTACACAGTGGAGCCGTCGATCCAGTGTGTTATCTGATTGAGCTGTAAGGAGGAGTTAGGTTGGAGTTATTGGAGGGCCTTTTAGGAGGAAGAGTGTAGGAGTGAATCATTCTGGAGGAGGTTCTGAAGGAAGTAGGGAGGGGAGGTGGTTGTGAGGAGAGCTTGAAGGGACGTGGGTTTTGGCTACAGGATGGGAGAGAGAGAGAGAGAGAGAGAGAGAGAGGTGGGCTCTAAGACAAGTATCTATAAACAGTAATAATGCACCAGACAGGTAGATATCGGCCGCCATCTTGCAGGTCACGACGCCATCACAACACAAATTCTCTCACTTGAGTTTTCACTTAAAATCATATTCATTATTTTACTTTCTTTGTTGACATCCCATCAACTAGTCAACTTTAATTAGAAAATCAGTTATTTCGCAATGAAAGAATTTGCTTAAAACACAGAAACGAAATGATAAGATTAAAATAAAAGTGTTCATTAATTATACCTGTTCAGCGTAGCCAAAAGTGCAATCCTCACCGGCGCCAACAGCAAACATACTCCTGACGAAGTTCATACAGTTGCTGCCCTTAGGACCATAGAAGGGGTCGCCTGTTGTGTCGATGGGCCAGCAGAAGGGGTGAGGCGGAGGGTTTACTATATGGCCGTTCTCACAGCACTCGATTCCCTGATTGTTGGCTGGGAATAAATAAATAAATTAATGTGATATACCGTACAGAATGGAAAATAGAATTGCTGCTGGGGGAGCTCTGAGTGTCTTATAAGTGACCTGTTACTGATTATTTCCAGATAGGACGATGAGCAAATCAAATACCTGTATACAGTACGCTACGTCCCGTTTGTGAACTTTCCCAGGTCATGAACTGGACAATTTCACAAACGGGACGATACACCTACACACACACATATAGACGTATGTAGTTATGTGTACCTATACAGTACATACACAAATCTTACGTACAGATAAAATTATTTCTTTATTCAGTGTCGTCAACATAATCAGTGAGTTTATCATAACAATTTGACATTTGTGGTATTTTGTAGTCAACCAGGAGATACAAACAAACATTTATCGACACACACTTACGGAAAGAGTGAAAGGGAACATGAGCAAAATCATGGTCAATAAACTGTGCCCACTGCATGACGAAGAGCGTGAAATCTTGGTCAGGGTTGTCCAGGTCTATCAAAATGTTATTGGTGATATGACGTTCATTAGGCAGTGGTGACCCATTAGTGTTCAATGAGCGAGCCGACGACACACCTGGAGAAGGGAGAGGTAGGTAGGTGAATCTTTCGTTATTACACCTGTTGAGAAACTGGATTATATTTATCACTGTTGTTGGGATTTCCGTTGTTGTGGAAAATATAGATAATATTTCTATTTTAATAATAATAGTAGTAGTAGTAGTAGTAGTACTATCACTGACCATTCCCGTAGGTAGGAGGCAATATTCTCTGGCACGGTGTATTAGACTGGCCCCAAGTAGGATGTCTCATATTGTTACAGGAGCCATCAACTGTTCGGTACTTGTTATTACTACACCTGGGCAGGGGAGGACAAGTTCTGCCTAGAGTGGTATTGGCTACCTGGATATTCCTCAAACCGAAGCCTGCTTGCTCAGAAGTCAAACCAAAGCTGAGAGGGTGAGAACAAGGAGTTACGTGAATATTCTTACTCATGATTCTTACTCTCTCCTTCTTACTCTGGTTCAGTTACTCGTTCACGCTTACTCATCCATACTAACAGCCCATCCTTACTTACCTACGTTATCTGTCATATTTAAACACTGAGTCTTCCACACTAACCATTCCTTGCGAATATTTACTCATTCATTTAGAATTCTTACTTTGTTATCGTTTTAAATTGCTATCTAAACTTGCCTTCTTCCTCTCACTCTCTACTCTACTCACAGTCTTTACTCTCACTCTTAGACTTTACTTTCACTCTTAGTCTTAACTCTCACTCTCTACTCTACTCTTTAATCTACTCTTACTCTCACTCTCTACTCTACTCTACTCCCACCCTCTAATCTACTCTCACTCTCAACTCCCACTCTCTACTCTCACTCTCTACTCTACTCTCCAACTCCCTCCTCTCTCTCACTCTCTACTCTACTCTCCTCTCTACTCTACCCCTCACTCTCAACTCCCTCTCTACTCTCCTCTCTACTCTACTCCCCCTCTAATCTACTCTCACTCTCTCATCCCTCTCTACTCTCCCTCTCTACTCTCTACTCTCACTCTCAACTCCCCACTCTCTCTCTCACTCCTCTACTCTACTCACTCTGCTCCACTCTCTACTCTCCTCTCTGCTTTCCTCTCTACTCTACTCTCAACTCTCTCTCTCCACTCTCTGTCTCTACTCCTCTACTCTACTCTCACTCTCAACTCTCCCTCTACTCTCACTCTCTCTACTCTCACTCTCAACTCCCACTCTCTACTCTCCTCTCTCTACTCTCCTCTCAACTCCCATTCTCTCCTCTACTCTCACTCTCTACTCTCCTCTCTCCCTCTCTTACTCTCACTCTCTCTCCTCTCTACTCTCCTCTCCCTACTCTACTCCTCACTCTCTGTCTCCTCTCTACTCCTCTCTACTACACTCACTCTAACTCCCACTCTGCTCTCCTCTCTACTCTCTCACTCTGTCCCACTCTCTGCTCTCCTCTCTACTCTACTCTCCTCTCCACTCTCTGCTCTCCTCTCTCTCCACCTCTACCCCTCACTCTCAACTCCCCTCTCTACTCTCACTCTCTACTTTCACTCTCTACTCTACTCTCAACTCTCACTCTCTACTCTCACTCTCTATTCTACTCTACTCTCACTCTCTAATCTACTCTCATTCTCAACTCTCACTCTCTACTCTCACTCTCTACTCTACTCTCACTCTCAACTCCCACTCTCTTCTCTCACTCTCTACTCTACTCTCACTCTCAACTCCCACTCTCTACTCTCACTCTACTCTACTCTCACTCTCAACTCCCACTCTCTTCTCTTACTCTCTACTCTCACTCTACTCTACTCTCACTCTCAACTCCCACTCTCTTCTCTTACTCTCTACTCTCACTCTACTCTACTCTCACTCTCAACTCCCACTCTCTTCTCTTACTCTCTACTCACTCTCTCAGCATGTTGGAGGAGGCGGCGATGATGGCAGTAGCTATTTGATCCATCCTCTTCGCGCTCTCCTTGGTCTTGAAGAACCTCAGGTGTACGCTGGCAGGTGAGTTCCTCGGCACCACCTTGTTGTTGCTGTTGATTAGTTAGTGCACCTGTTAGTTCACTTGCTCTTTGGATCTTGGGGAAATAATCAATCTGGCTGTCTATCTGGTTATCAATCTGTCTATCTATCTATCTATCTATCTATCTATCTATCCATCTCACCGGAGGAGGTTCTGTTCCAGTTGGTTGACTTGGTTGACGTGGTTGATGCCCTTGTTACAGGCAGCGTTCAGCATCCCTTGGTCAATTGGTTTCATCCTCACACTGATGTTAGGGTTTCTAAACACCTTGCTGTCACCTTGTCCTCTGGCAGGGGTCTGGGCTGTGAGGGGTGACAACTGATGGTTATATTATTGGGATATTTCTAGGGATATTGAGGAGATGTTCTAGGGATATTTCAGGGATATTTTAAGGATATCTCAGGGCTGTTATAGAAATAAAAGGGACTCTAGGCATGTTTAATCCAGGGTGTTTAATTCTCTACGAAAACCACCATTGTACACATGTTAGGTATCTCTCTCTCTCTCTCTCTCTCTCTCTCTCTCTCTCTCTCTCTCTCTCTCTCTCTCTCTCTCACACATACCGGCCAGGTTAGATGCAGGGCAACAGACTCCTGGGCTACCATTTCCCAGTCTACATTGTTGCGTGATCTGAAAACAAACATAAACAAAGTCATTAAAACATAAACACGTGAGCACCTGGAAACTTTTTATGACGTCACTTCATCAAAACATAAACATATATATTTAAACGTTTAATAACAAGAAAAAAATTAATTATAGAACAAAAAAATAACATAAAAATTAATAACTAATTGTAGGTATTTTCAGTAAAACAAATGGACCTTATGATTGTACCGTCGAGGAGGCGGGGAGGCCTTCTGCAATGACTTCACGGGTTGTTTACAAGGGAACACATTAACGCCATAAGGGAACACATTAACGCCATAAGGGAACACATTAACGAGCCAACTGTAAACCCAAAATGTGACGTCATCGGACTGGTAAACACTATACCTGCACTCACCTGTGTCATCACCGACGCGCAGGTGACTAAAGGAATGCAGTTACAGCCTCCTTGGGAACCTCCAAAACTTGGGAAACCTCCTTGGGAAACCCCTGGTCCTGGGAAACCTCCATTTTGTCCTCCACCTGAAAATAAGTGAAATAATGTTTTGAAGTTTTTGTTTTTATGACTTAATATATCCTGGAGACGAATTGGTGGCGCAGTGTTGGAGAGATAACCAGTGTTGGGGAGATAACGAGTGCTGGAGATAACGAGTGTTGGAGATAACGAGTGCTGGAGATAAAAGAGACGTACTGCTGACAACATCTACATTTGTGTTATATCTCTCAAGATAAAACACATAGTGGAAGTGACGATGTTTAGCCAAAGGGTAAAGAAAATCCATTTGTTCAATTGTGCAAAACATGTGTATGGAGGTGAGGTAGGAATGGGGGGGAGGGGGAGGATGGAGGTAGGAAGAGGGGGGGAGAGGGAGTGGGAAGGGAAACGGGTAAAAAGAACTGGGGGGAAGTGGAGAAGGGTAAGTGGAATTGGAGGGTGAGAGAGGGGGAGGGGAATGGGGGGGGGGGGGGATTAAACGAAGGGAGGGGGAAAGGAAGGGAAGGGGAGGAGGAGGAGGAAGGGGGTAAATAATGCCAATGTGGAAAAACTTCTATGACCCCACCCCCAACCCTCCTCCCACCTCACCTCCCACCCCTCCCAAATAGCGGAAAAAAGATTATCTCACATCAATTATTACCCAGATAAAAGTAGCTAAGGTTTTCCCCCGAGAGATCCTGATCCCGCTGAAGCTTCCCAAGATCCTTCCACACTTGTATGATCATTCTGGGAAGAGACCAGTGTGTTGTAAAAGAAAATAAGTCAAGCGAAGACCGTCAATCTGTACTGGAAAATCCCCTGTTGATTTAAAGCGAAAATCACCCTCTCATCCTGACTCTTGCATGGGATTCCCGGGAAGGGGGGGAGGGGAGATGTTTTTTGTGTGTTGATAATGGTAGCTGGTGATGCTGAGTCAGGTACAGTAACATCAAAACTGGGTAGTAGTTTGTTGCTGCATTTCTGCCTAAATTTATGCATCTGTTTCACACACACACACACACACACACACACACACACACACACACACAACACCTACCTGGGAAGCTGATCTGACGGATGACACGCGCCACAGGTAGCTCTTCCATCTCCTCGACAGGTATGCCTTGAGCCCCTAGCGGACCACCTCTCTGCAGGGCTGCCACCACCGCCACCACCATCCACGACCACCGGCTCATCTTCCTATCACTGTGGCTTCTCTTACTACTCTCTGTTGGGTTAAAATGGACCTGGGTTAAAATATGTCGTGGAAAGAATATGGCAAAACAGTTGATATTTGTTCATTCTCTTCCCTCTTATTATGCATTAACCCTCTCTCTCCTTGTTTCAAGATTCCTCCTTCATTTCCTTTGTATAAGTGATCTCCCCAGAGCCGAATTTAGGCATGTGTGGGCCCTGTGCAATCCAGATGTGTGAGGGCCCTGTACAATCCAGATGTGTGGGCCCCTGTACAGTTCAGATGTCTGTGGGCCCCGTTCTGCCACACACTCTGAACACTCCTAAATCCGACACTGGTTCTGCCTCCCACGCATTCTTTTCTCCTCTTACTTCCTGACAAAACTTTCTCGTAGTTATCCGTCGAACATTTCATTTTCCTTGTAATTCTAAAGTGTTTTTATAACCTAATGACTAAATTACTTTACGATTCCACTCATATTGTCGTAACAGAATATTGCATGAATTTGAGCAACCAGGCATCATTAGAATCATTGCATGTCAGTTTGAGTATGTGTGTGTGTGTGTTTCTGTGTGTGTGTGTGTGCGTGTGTGTGTAAAGAAAGAAAACAAGACCAACACACAGCCACGTGAACTTGACTAGTGTAGTTAGGATGAACACAAGAGGTTCAAGCGTTTGTATCGATCACGCTTGAGGGTTTTTTTTCACGTCACGCTAAAATCCTTGTTCAATACGCTTAAAAATAAATAAAATATGAATAAAAGTGTTCCTGTGTGTGTGTGTGTGTGTGTGTGTGTGTGTGTGTGTGTGTGTGTGTGTGTGTGTGTGTGTGTGTGTGTGTGTGTGTGTGTGTGTGTGTGTGTGTAAATAAATATCGTTGTTTACATCATTGCCACACAAAACACTTCATCATTTATCGCCAAAACTTCGATTTTTTATTTCATTTGTGATATTTGTTGTCTATCTCTCTACCCTTAACCAGTTTAAGTCTCAAAACCAACTAAGTGTATTTCATAAAAGAATGACAAAAATAGAGACGTCATCTACACTACAGGTACAGAGATTACATTACACTTTTATAACAACACGCTGCCTTGAATCCTAAACGACGATAATTGACCAAAGGTGTGTCAGAATCACACTAATTACCCAAGATATAAAACAGGTGTGGTGATGTATAACTACCAGGAGGTCTGAGTCGCGAGTTGTTTTAGTCAGTGGTGAGTCGTGGAGAGAAGACGACTGTTGAAGGGCACAGTATGATAAAACAATCGTCCATATGCCACCATGACGTCACGCCCGTATGCCTGAGTCATGCCACAACCAGACCGTAGCGGCAGACAGTCGTGATAGGGGCGTTACCACAGGCTACCTTGATGGTATACTGTAGTCTAAGTTTACCACAGGCTACCTTGATGGTATACTGTAGTCTAAGTTTACCACAGGCTTCCTTGATAGTATACTGTAGTCTAAGTTTACCACAGGCTACCTTGATAGTATACTGTAGTCTAAGTTTACCACAGGCTACCTTGATAGTATACTGTAGTCTAATTTTACCACAGGCTACCTTGATAGTATACTGTAATCTAAGTTTACCACAGGCTACCTTGATAGTATACTGTAGTCTAAGTTTACCACAGGCTACCTTGATAGTATACTGAAGACTAAATTTACCACAGACATTAAAGATTATTCGCTGTACAATGACGAACGAAGGTGAAGCCAAAGTCATTATTTGTTAACTTTTTGACAAGTATGTTTTCCCTAGCCTGGGTATTCCCCGTCTCACAGGTCATTAGTACAGGTAATAGTAACGTAGGTAGACGTCAAGGGAAAATACACACACACACACACACACACACACACACACACACACACACACACACACACACACACACACACACACACGTATTAGAGCCCTCATAACACCATCTGTGAGGGAATTACTACACCACGTGAGGCCCCTCATAACACCATCTGTGAGGGAATTACTACACGTGAGGCCCCTCATAACACCATCTGTGAGGGAACTACTACACCACGTGAGGTCCCTCCTAACACCATCTGGGAGGGAGTTACTACATTACGTTTTTGCTGTTCAACACCTACATTAATCTGTATGTTCACTGTATGTTCCTTTACCTTTCTCTAACGAAGGCTTTTGTTAAACCACCAATGTATGTAATAAGTCATTTATGTCCAATGTATATTTTCAGCCTTCGGGCTGCAGAACTTTTTCAATAAACCGTTTATTATTATTATTATTATTATTATTATTACACACACACACACACACACAGAGTACTGGTTAGATCACTTTCTGTTGGCATTGAGATCTCCCCCAGTCGCCTCCACGTCTCTCTCTCTCTCTCTCTCTCTCTCTCTCTCTCTCTCTCTCTCTCCTCTCTCTCTCTCTCTCTCTCTCCTCTCTCTCTCTCTCTACTCTCCACTCTCTTTTCACCTCCTCAGTACACCTTCATATTATTTGGTACTGTGGTAAACTCCATCCGTGTATCGTAAGACATTCTTGGTTACATTTGACCTTGGGAAAGTTTAAGTGTCACTACCACACATGCACACACACACACATACACACACACACACACGCACACACACACACACACACACACACACACACACACACACACACACACACACACACACACACACACGTAAAGGTCCGAGGTTGTGTGTGTGTGTGTGTGTGTGTGTGTGTGTGTATAGTGGTGCTTGGTTATTATGTTTGAACAGCTGACCAACCAAAACACAGACCTTAAAGACACATACCTATATTCCTTAATTACGACAGGTGATGTGAGTATAACCTGACCCATATGCTAGTACTATTAGGTATAGCCGTATCGCCACAGATGGGAGGGGCGTCTACCTGTCCACACGCTGGTTAGACAGGTAAATATTGGGAACACGTGACGATTAGACACCTCAACTTATTTCAACTGATGATTAAATGCCTAACCTAACTTCACCCAGGTATTAAGGTGTCCAATCTTCAGGTGATATAAGCTAGGTAGGTATCCAATCTTCAGGAGAGATAAGTTAAAGGGTGTCCATTCTTCAGGTGATATAATCTGGGGGTGTCCAGTCTTCAGGTGATATAAGCTAGGTAGGTATTCAATCTTCAGGAGAGATAAGTTAAAGGGTGTCCATTCTTCAGGTGATATAATCTGGGGGTGTCCAGTCTTCAGGTGATATAAGCTAGGTAGGTATTCAATCTTCAGGAGAGATAAGTTAAAGGGTGTCCATTCTTCAGGTGATATAATCTGGGGGTGTCCAGTCTTCAGGTGATATAAGCTAGGTAGGTATCCAATCTTCAGGAGAGATAAGTTAAAGGGTGTCCATTCTTCAGGTGATATAAGCTAGGTAGGTGTCCAATCTTCAGGTCATCGAACAAAACAGATCCTTAATCTCGACGATATAACCCTCACAGGAAGGTCTTTCAGGGATTATAACTCATAACCATAAAAGAATATACTAGCCTATTTTTCCTCTTCTTATACAGTATATGCGCTAATCTTCTCTGGTCTTTGGTGAGAGTATAACCACGTAAAAACCAGTTATACAGGTGTACTTCTTCTCTAGTGACGTATATACCCAAGCATACCTGGCTGTCTGTGTAAGGGGTAGTGAAGGTTGTTGATTATTCTCTACGTTTTTCGCGCACATAAATCATTGTTTACATTTTATTTAGTAATTTTTCCCAGTTATGTCTTGGTGTTAGAATAATGTTTTTTTGTTTTGTTCTTCTTCTTCTTCTTCTTCTTCTTCTTCTTCTTCTTCTTCTTCTTCTTCTTCTTCTTCTTCTTCTTCCTCGCTTTATTTCGTCTCTCTTCCTCCTGTTCTTCTTCTTCCCCTACTCACTCCTTCTCTTCCTCCTTCTCCCGCTCCTCTTCCTCCACCTCCTTCTTCTCGTCCCCCTTCACCCTCCTCTTCCTCCACCTCTTTCTTCTCGTCCCCCTTCACCCTCCTCTTCCTCCACCTCCTTCTCGTCCCCCTTCACCCTCCTCTTCCTCCACCTCTTTCTTCTCGTCCCCCTTCACCCTCCTCTTCCTCCACCTCCTTCTTCTCGTCCCCCTTCACCCTCCTCTTCCTCCACCTCTTTCTTCTCGTCCCCCTTCACCCTCCTCCTCCTCCTTCTCTTCCTCCTCCTCCTCCTGCTCCCGGCCTACCAAACCAGTATTTACTTTCACCTCGACCAGGATTGTGTGTGAAGCTGTATGATGATTTTACTAATAAATAGAATGAGTCAACGGAGCAACCCACATGAAGCTCTGAATCGCTTGTATACCGATTAGAAAAACCAACGTCCTCAAGGGGTTAAACCATTGTCTTCAAAGGGTTAAACCATCATCCTCAAGGGGTGAAACCATCGTCCTCAAGGGGTTAAACCATCGTCCTCAAAGGGTTAAGCCATCGTCCTCAAGGGGTTAAACCATTGTCATCAAAAGGTTAAACCATCGTCCTCAAAAGGTTGAACAATTGTCCTCAAAGGGTTAAGCCATCGTCCTCAAAGGGTTAAACCATCGTCCTCAAAGGGTTAAACTATCATCCTCAAAGGGTTAAACCATCGTCCTCAAAGGGTTAAACCATCGTCCTCAAAGGGTTAAACCATCGTCCTCAAGGGGTGTCCTCAAGGGGTTAAACCATCGTCCTCAAAGGGTTAAACTATCATCCTCAAAGGGTTAAACCATCGTCCTCAAAGGGTTAAACCATCGTCCTCAAAGGGTTAAACCATTGTCATCAAAAGGTTAAACCATCATCCTCTGATACACACCCTTCACCTTAGTGTCATTATTACCACGTGTTGTAACCCTAACATAGTATCGTGGTTGTAATTGTGTTCAGGTATCGCGTTCCAATGACGTATTTCCCGTTGTTGGGTGTGTTGGGTATACGCTATAGTACTCGTGGGTGACTCAGACGCCGCTATAGTACTCGTGGTTGACTCAGACGCCACTATAGTACTCGTGGTTGACTCAGACGCCACTATAGTACTCGTGGTTGACTCAGACGCCATTATAGTACTCGTGGTTGACTCATACGCCACAATAGTACTCGTGGTTGACTCAGACGCCGCTATAGTACTCGTGGTTGTATATACAGATTCACACTAAAACACATAAAAGGTATGGTACTCTCTCTCTCTCTCTCTCTCTCTCTCTCTCTCTCTCTCTCTCGTGCAATAAAAGACCTCAGCACCTCCACCAATCAGACGAGGTAAGACAGAACTGTGACCAACTGGTGAGGTGAGAAAAAAGTGGTCAAGAGTCGATCACTTTGGGACAAAAGGCGGTTTCATGTCGATTAAAAGGGTCCAACGTCGAACACCTGCCCAGAACCTTTATTACACGCTAGTTAGGGCAGGTTTGGGTAGGTTAGGGTAGGTTAAGCAGAAGCCACAAATCCCGTAGTTCGCCTGTTTCGGTTTTGCCGTGTCCCAAAGTGGCTGTACTGTACACCTGTAGCAGGGAGAGACTGTACTGTACACCTATAGCGGGAAGAGGCTGTACTGTACACCTGTAGCAGGGAGAGACTGTACTGTACACCTGTAGCGGGAAGAGGCTGTAGTGTGCTGTTCACCTGTAGCAGGAAGAGACTGTACTGTACACCTGTAGCGGGAAGAGGCTGTACTGTACACCTGTAGCAGGGAGAGACTGTACTGTACACCTGTAGCGGGAAGAGGCTGTACTGTACACCTGTAGCAGGGTGAGACTGTACTGTACACCTGTAGCGGGAAGAGGTTGTACTGTACACCTGTAGCGAGAAGAGGCTGTACTGTACACCTGTAGCGGGAAGAGGCTGTACTGTACACCTGTAGCAGGGTGAGACTGTACTGTACACCTGTAGCGGGAAGAGGTTGTACTGCACACCTGTAGCGAGAAGAGGCTGTACTGTACACCTGTAGCGGGGAGACTCGGTAAACACTGCAGTAGCAACTTCAGTAAGATTCCGGACGCCACTACTCATTATGGCGTTGACCCTCAGGGTGCGTCTTGTTTGGAGGTGGTCACACGTCCTCTGGCCTCTAGAGCTGTGAGCTTAGGACACACGATCCGTATATAGTGTTGCGGTTGGAACTTGAGGCCTTGATTGGTTGTTGAGGCCGTGGTTGGAACTTGAGGCCTTGGTTGGTTCTTGAGGCCGTAGTTGGAACTTGAGGCCTTGGTTGGTTCTTGAGGCCGTGGTAGGTTGGTTCTTGAGGCCTTGGTTGGTTCTTGAGGGCGTGGTTGGTTGGTTCTTGAGGCCTTGGTTGGTTCTTGAGGGCGTGGTAGGTTGGTTCTTGAGGCCTTGGTTGGGACTTGAAGCCTTGGTTGGTTGGTTCTTGAGGCCTTGATTTGGCAGTTTCTTGAGGGCGTGGTAGGTTAGTTCTTGGGGCCTTGGTTGGTTTCTTGAGGGCGTGGTTGGTGGTTGGTTCTTGAGGCCTTGGTTGGTTCCTTGAGGCGTGGTAGGTTGGTTCTTGAGGCCTTGGATTTGGTTCTTGAGGGCGTGGTAGGTTGTAGTTCTTGAGGCCTTGGTTGGTTCTTGAGGGAGCGTGGTAGGTTGGTTCTTGAGGCCTTGGTTGGTTCTTGAGGGCGTGGTAGGTTGGTTCTTGAGGGGCGTGGTAGGTTGGTTCTTGGGGCGGCGCCGGTTTGGTTCTTGAGGGCGTGTGGGGTTGAGTTCTTGAGGCGCCGGATTTGGTTCTTGAGGGCGTGGATTTGGTTGGTTCTTGGGGCCTTGGATTTGGTTGTTGAGGCCGTGGTTGGAACAGGGCCTTGGTTGGTTCTTGAGGGCGTGGTTGGTTGGTCCTTGAGGCCTTGGTTGGTTCTTGAGGCCGTGGTTGGGTTTTGAGGCCTTGGATTTGGTTCTTGAGGCGTGGTTGGTTGGTTCTTGAGGCCTTGGTTGGTTCATGAGGCGTGGTTGGTTTGGTTCTTGAGGCCTTGGTTGGTTCTTGAGGAGCGTGGTCGGTTGGTTCTTGAGGTGGTTTGAGTTTCTTGAGGGGCGTGGTTGGTTGGTTCTTCGGGGCCTTGGTTGGTTCTTGAGGAGCGTGGTTGGTTGGTTCTTGAGGCCTTGGTTGGTTCTTGGTTGGTTCTTGAGGCCTTGGTTGGTTCTTGAGGGCGTGGTTGGTTGGTTCTTGAGGCCTTGGTTGGTTCTTGAGGGCGTGGTAGGTTGGTTCTTGAGGCCTTGGTTGGTTCTTGACGGCGTGGTAGGTTGGTTCTTGAGGCCTTGGTTGGTTCTTGAGGACGTGGTTGGTTGGAGCTTGAAGCCGTGGTTGGAACTTGAGGCCGTACAGTAGTTGGTACCTATGGCCGTAGTTGGTACTGATTACTTGAGAGATACACTTATGTGCCGCAACACATATAGATATAATATTTACCAGGGTATTTCCTTCTTTCTTTTTTTCTTTTTTCTTTGATTCCTTCCTTCCTTCATTCATTCATTTCCTCTTCCTGGATTCTCAAATTATACAGTATTAATGAATTCTATCAATACATACATACATACATACATACATACATACATACATACATACATATATACATGTTAATCCCCTCAGCATGATTTGCACTCTATAGCACTCTTTCGCCTCTGTCAGTCAGTAGAAATACACAACTGCCGTGGTTTACCTGTCTGTTAATTAACCCCTTTAGTGTGGTGTTAACCCCTTTAGTGTGATGTTAACCCTTTAAGTGTGATGTTAACCCTTTAAGTGTGATGTTAACCCTTTAAGTGTGATGTTAACCCTTTAAGTGTGATCTTAACCCCTTTAGTGCGATGTTAACCCTTTAAGTGTGATGTTAACCCCTTTAGTGCGATGTTAACCCTTTAAGTGTGATGTTAACCCCTTTAGTGCGATGTTAACCCTTTAAGTGTGATGTTAACCCCTTTAGTGCGATGTTAACCCTTTAAGTGTGATGTTAACCCTTTAAGTGTGATGTTAACCCTTGCATTGTGATGTTAACCCTTTAAGTGTGATGTTAACCCGCTTTAAGTGTGATGTTAGCATACGTGCGATGTTAACCCCTTTGGTGCGATGTTAACCTTTAAGTGCGATGTTAACCCTTTGTTGCGATGTTAACCTTTTACGTCATTAACCCCTTTAGTGTGATATTAACCCTTTAAGTGCGATGTTGTACTTTAAGGTCGGCGATGTTCAGCACGAGCGCGGTATTAACCCTTTCCGTGCAAAATGTTCGCCCTTTAATTATGATGTTCAGCACAGTGCGATGTTAACTTTTGGTGATCGTGCCGGCACTGATACCGATGTTAACCCTTTAAGTGTGATGTTAACCCTTTAAGTGTGATGTTAACCCCTTTAGTGCGATGTTAACCCCTTTAGTGTGATGTTAACCCTTTACGTGCGATGTTAACCCTTTAAGTGTGATGTTAACCCCTTTAGTGCGATGTTAACCCTTTAGTGCGATGTTAACCCCTTTAGTACGAACACTATAATTACTGCTACTACAAACACGACTACTATTACTATTACAACTACAACAACAACTACGACCACAGACACGACTACCATTACAACCACGACTACACCTTGAACTACGACCCCACGAGTATAACACAGGATTACCTTTACATCCTGGAGGTGAACTGTGGCATAATAGACCAATTATTTTTTACTTCAGTTTTTCAATTCACAACGCAATATAAATCACACTCCATGATGCACGATGTATATAGTTTACAATACACATCTGTTTATTCCTCTAAAACACTTATTGTCATTTTTTTTTTTAATTTTCATAAAAGTAATTCGTATTTAACTCACTGGTTTAATATATATTTTCCACACACTTTGCAAACCTAAATTGTTGATGGTAATTTGGAAAGATTGTTTTTGTTTCTTTATCCAGCCCAACCTCCAGTACACTGTTTCAAAACCTGTCAAACAATCACAAATAACGTCAGATTTCGAACACGCGGTGTATCCCCGAACACAACAAGGACAAGGGCGGAGGAGAACGAGGCGATCACACACACACTGTTCTATGTTATCTTACGATTATATTTACTGACATTATTACCACAGAAAATTACGTTAAAGAATGTTGGGTTCGTGTCATCAGGATTCGGATTTTCTACAAAGGAAGACGTGGCCATACAGACAGACAGATAGACAGACAGACAGATAGACAGACAGACACAGATAGACAGACAGACACAGATAGACAATGTTTATATCTTGTACCTGTATCCGTTATTGACAAGAACATAAATAAAAATATAAACAAAAGGGCGTTCACAATAAGCTGAAGAACACACACACACACACACACACACACACACCTGTTGACTGAAGGGCAATATTGCAACACTCCTTCCTCGACGTGGTCCTGCACACCACTGACGCTCCTCAGGCGGTAACCTCCTCACAACATTCCCTTATAGTTGCCAGATGTTCCTAGCAATGTCCAGGCTTCGGGTACCTAAATCACTCCCCAAAACGACGATAAAATACCATAGATTTCATTTACACAAACCCATAATGGAACAAAAATACACAGACACACAAGTGAAAATAACAATAAATAAAAAACAATCAGAATATTTCGACATTAGTGATTCTTGTGGCCAGTTAGACATTTATATTTGTAACTCAGAACGGAAAATACGCTTCTTTCAAAACAGGTGGGCTTATTCTGAAGCTCACATGATATACACATGTCATTGCACTAGGTGTTCACATCTGACAAGACAGTCATTGAGGCAAGACTCGGCTGTGGTAAAGAACTGGCCTTAGGAACTGTCAGGTGGTAGTGAATGTTGAGAGAGTACTGTGTGTTCCAAGATAGTACAGTGTGTCCCAAGATAGTACAGTGTGTCCCAAGATAGTACTGTGTGTCCCAAGATAGTACAGTGTGTCCCAAGATAGTACAGTGTGTCCCAAGATAGTACAGTGTGTCCCAAGATAGTACAGTGTGTCCCAAGATAGTACTGTGTGTTCCAAGATAGTACAGTGTGTCCCAAGATAGTACTGTGTGTTCCAAGATAGTACAGTGTGTCCCAAGATAGTACAGTGTGTCCCAAGATAGTACTGTGTCCCAAGATAGTACTGTGTGTTCCAAGATAGTACAGTGTGTCCCAAGATAGTACAGTGTGTCCCAAGAGAATGTGAGGTGGTGTTAATTTTTCCAAGAATCTCAAGTCTAATAAGACCTTTCCTGTGTCGCTGAGAGTTGAATGCAGAATATACGTTACTCACTGCAATGAAAACATAACCTAACCAAAGCTAACCTAACCTAATCTAATCCAACCCTTGTAAATCTTTCCATAGTTGTTATACAGCAAACGACTCAACACATCTCCCGCACTTGATACTCTTTTGTATGCTTAACATGAATGACTCGCAGGCGTTGATCTCTCTAACCACTAATTGACCTTTACACGCAACCTGAAATTTTACCTGAGCGACCTACAATCTGAAACCCCTTGCTACCCAGACGATCAAGTGTAAGTGTTTGGAGGAGTGAATATATTGGACGTGAGTTACATATTAGCGATGAACCTTTTGACGTAAGATTATACACACACAAATAGAGTGAGGACGTCGGCGCTGCCCGTGGTCTGTTGACCATGGAGACAGCTGCCAGCCTGGTCTGTCGGGCCCTTCCCCTTCCTCATCTCCTCCTCCCCATCTGGATTTATCAACATCCTCCCACCAACAGTATAGTGCAAAGATTGACGATCATCTCACAAGTGATATACAAAAGTGGCAATTTCAACTCAAAACAAAGAAACAACTGTTAGAGCGACAATCGTACTTAGCGGTCAATGTTGTCCTGATGCAGACCTAACACATCCTGCCCGCCGTACACTCGCCACCACCAACACTGGATGAGAAGCCAAGAAAGACTCCAAACTACACCAGGAGAGAAATGAGGACTCCCTACTCCACCCAGGTGAGGAATTAAGAATTCCCAACTACGTCAAATGAGGAACAAGAACCATCTCCAACACCCTGTGTGAGCTGAAGGACCTACCCGGACCACGTGGTGGATGTGCTAAACATCTGGAGCTGTGGTGGGGGAGCGGCTCAGCTCCCAGGTGCGACGGCCATCCAGACAGCAGACACCAATATCAGGTCACAAGAACAGACCAGCTCCCACAGTACCAGACCTATAGTTAATCTATATGTTGACTTTATCTGTCTTATATTTATGTACTGAAAGCTTTTGTTAATCAAGTGACCCACTCCCCAATTTCACCATATGTAACTTATCATCTCCGTTTATTGTATATTTTCAGCCTTCGGGCTGCCATGTTATCTTAATAAACTGTTAATTACTATTATTATTACACACACTCACAGGTTAGTAGACACCCCGGAGCGAGTTGACCTTTTAGCGGTGGAACTGGAAGAGAGCAACCAGAAAATGGCTTCCTCCCCCTCCTCCTCCTCCTCCTCTTCTTCTTCCTCCTCGGTATTCTTTCTTCTTCCTTTCTTCCTCGTATTTCCTTTCTATTTTTCTACTCATCCTCCTACAACTTCTTCTTCTCCACCTTGTACTTTTACCTCCAAGTCTTCCTTCCTTTCATTTTCCTCTTTCTCTTCTTCTTCTAGTCCCGTTACTCTTCCTACTTCTGCTCCTCGTCCCTTTTCTTCTTGTTTTCTACGATGTGTCTTCTCTTATTCCTCTTCTTCCTCTCTGCTTTATTCCTGATTTGTTCCTTTCACTTATATCATATTTACGTTAACCTTCTACTCCCCCTCCACCCCCCCTGTGCCCCACTCACACACTCTACACCCCACTACACATTACACCCCACACCCCCACTCACACATTACACCCCACACCCCCACCACACACACACCCCACACCACCACACACACACAACCCCACACCCCCACTCACACACACACACCCCTACACCCCCACTACACACACACCCCACACCCCCACCACATAACACCCTACACCCCCCACTACACATAACACCCTACACCCCCCACTACACATTACACCCTACACCTCCTACACAGACTGAAAATAACATCACACAGACCATCTACACTGACGGCTCTCTTAACACTGTCTACGGGAGGGCTGGAAGTGCTGTCATTGTGACTCAGCTTAACGGTAATGTAATGGAGAAAGGAACTAGAATTAGTAACTGGTCATTCACTCTACAAACTGAACTATTTGCCATACTCACAGACCTGAAACTTGTTGAAGACACTGCCACTGACAGCCTCATCATCATTGACTCCTTATCCTCACTACTTGGTCTTGATATCCTAAACTCAGATTGTCACCCACTTGTCTCTGAAGCCAGACACAAGCATGTGTGTCTTGTTGACGAGGGTATCAGGATCAAGCTGTTGTGGATCCCCTCTCACATAGGCCTCATTCAACATGATAGAGATGATTCCTTAGCTAAACTCGCGTCCAATAATGACACTGTTGAATACAGTCTAGGACTGTTAAACGTGTGTTTGGAACGAGTAACAAGATTACTAGATTACAGGATGTTTAAACCTCTAGGTTATGTTCAGATTATATGAGTAAGTACCTCTGGCAGTATGTCCCTCAGGCAGGTGTGAACAAAACTAAATGTAAAGTGTGCGGCCAGACATATGGCCACACACTCCAACACTACGTCTTAGACTGTGAAAATACGGACCCTTTTAGAGACAAATCCAACCAGACTGTGTATGGAATGACACAGCACTTTATCTCTGATGGGAAGATAGTTGATACATTAAGGCTGTATCCACACTTCACATCTAGTATCTAAGTAAACTTCTGTGTACCGAACTAAGCAAACAATTTACTGGATATACTCTGTAACGGTCAATGTCATAATACCTTGAATACTTGGGTTTGATAAACACCCTTTGTGGCCTCTACTTTGTAAGCTTTCTTGCGTTACCATTCGCAGGAGTGTGGAGTGCACAGTAAACTATCTGCGGTCCGCGACAAAATTCAGTTCATATTCAAACCCCTACACCCCCCCTCTCCTCTACACACACACACACACACCACACCCTACACCACCTCTCTCCTCCCTTAGGGAAGTGGCTGGACCTCCTTTCTCCATACACTAAGAGAGCTGACCCAATCACCAGCTGCCCCTGTCACCAGCTGCCCCTGTCACCAGCTGCCCCTGTCACCGCCTTTATCACCAGCTCCGTCTGTCTGTTCGTCCATGTGTCAGGAACTTATCCACACAATAACACTAATAATTAAGTAGTGGTGGATTATGGCCAAACTGGTGTATGGATGTTTAATAAGGTCTTATGACAGTTGATTAGTTGTCACCGTAAAGTGCTGTGGCCCCTTGACAGTGCTGTGGCCCTTTGACAGTGTTGTGGCCCCTTGACAGTGCTGTGGCCCCTTGACAGTGTTGTGGCCCCTTGACAGTGATGTGGCCCCTCGACAGTGATGTGGCCCCTTGACAGTGTTGTGGCCCCTTGACAGTGTTGTGGCCCCTTGGCAGTGATGTGGCCCCTTGACAGTGCTGTGGCCCCTTGACAGTGTTGTGGCCCCTTGACAGTGTTATGACGCAGCTGGGTCACCTGACTACTTTTACTTCGTAATAAAAATCCGTCTCACGTTACTTCGTCTCTTTTATTACAACTTTCTTAATTCTCTGTTGTTTTTTATCATTATTACCATCAGTAAATGTATGTTTGTTTGTTGTTGTTGTTTTGTTTTGTTTTGGGGGATAATATTGATTTTCTCTTACGTGAACTAGATCAATGGCCTTCATTATCAAGTGAGAGTATAAACCTTGGGGTCATATTACGTCTGTCTGAGTTTCACTGTTATCGAGAGAGTATTGTCATCGGTGAGTGTGTGTGTGTGTGTGTGTGTGTGTGTGTGTGTGAACCCAGTCTAGTCAGGAATCTAACCCTTAAACATTCGTACGCGGTGGCGAATGCTCTTAACACCGAGCTACACCGCCAGATTATATCACCTGTTGATTTAACACCCTAACGCTTCCTGGAGGTTAGGTTAGGTTAGGTTAGGTTAGGTTAGGTTAGGTTAGGTTAGGTTAGGATGTTTAATCATCAAGTGAAATTAGCTAGGGGTTATAATCTTCTCGTAATTCAGTTCAAGTTCAATGACTTTGTTTTCATGTTTAAAAGGTAAACTAATATAAACAGATTTCCTTCAAGTGACCAAGAATCACATCACTCAACACTCTAAAATATTAATAAGATCAAACTACACCAGACTGTACCTTCGTTCATTACTTCGTTAGACAGGATTGTTAAATACTACTAGCAGCCTCAAGTTTTTCTCACACTCGTAAACTAGTTTTAAGATTTAGAAAACTGTCCAGATGATGCATTGACCTCTAAGGTTATTCATCCCCGGTGGACCCTGACCCTCCCTTAACAAAAATATAGACCTGTTTTTTTTTTC